TCATAGACAAAGTATAAAAAAAACAAAATATGGATGAACATCAGCAAAGTATTCAAGTAAGTTACACTTATATGTGTGGAAAATTAACCATATATTCTTATCAAGAGTAGCAAACGCTAGTGGATTACAGTATCTTATTGACTATTAGATCGTCTAGCATATAGAAGCATATGTAGAGATTTGAGTTCTTATAAAAATAAGAACTGTAGAATCTGAAATATTTAACTTTTGAACAAAACTAGGTTTATATTCACCTGTTAAATATGTTTTTATCAGTATAGGGGTTGTGGAGATTGTTAATTTTTTGATTAAGATCATGAACCGATTGATGTTAGACCACCAATGAAAACCTGGAAGCACTGGACGGCCGTTTCATCCTAGTATGGGACTCCTCAGCGGTGCGCATACACGATCTCATTAGCGGGATTCGAAACCAGGGCCTTCAGTGGTCCAGTAGGTTAAGCGTTCTCACGCGAGACCGAAAGTCATGGGTTAGGGGCCCGTGTGCATGATTGTGGGTGTGCACTGTTGAGAAGTCTCATATTAAGACGAAACGGCCGTTCAGTACTTCCAAGTTTTCAATGGTGGTCTAGCTTTAATGGACTCTTGAATCCAATTATTAAAGAACTAAATTTTTCAGTAAACACATTAGCAAAATATTCATAGGTTAAACGTCTCATTCCAAAAACTGACTAATTTTTTCAGCTTTTGTCGACAGCACATACACATTGAAGTTTTTTTGAAAAAAAATTGATTTGTTCAACTAAACTCTATGACTTAATAGATGATTGAGGACGTGTATCAAAATGATTAAACATCACATGATAAATATAAATTCAACACACTAGGCTATAACATTAGCAAGAATGTTGGTAGTTAACATTAAAGATTAAGTTTAGTCAGTTAAAATCTAGGACCCAAAACAGATAAGTGAAGCTAGTCATTGACTAAAGTTTCAAATGAATTTTATGTATTGATTGATGAAAACAATAGTTGTAGTATTACAGAAACAATATATACAACTAGCCTTTCTACATGCTAAACAATTAGAGATATTAGTAGGACAGTGCTATTTTGTATACACAAATGTAGTGTTTGAATGAACTAATGATTCCTTTGTATTTGTTGAATGCTTGATTTCGAATTCCAAATACAGTACATTCGTTTGTGCTTATCTAGTACTTTTTGATCCGATTACGTTATTTCTGGGATTCTTAGTTCATACTATAATCCAAATACTCCTGATCATCATAACATATCAGATTCAAATCGAAATACATTGACTTATCTCTTTTCAACCAATCAACGATAACAGACAAAATGAGATGCTGGGAACTTTTGAGTGAATCCTATATAATCTCAAATGGTTTTATTAATATATCTCTGCTTTTTGGTTTTATTAGAATAGACATTATTCTCTTTGAATTCATGTTCTGATTCAGGAAAAGTTGAGCAAATTATAGTATAAAAAAAAAACACTAAACAATTAGAAAATATAATAAAGATAACTGACTGAACTTATGATCTCGATTTAAAAAGTACCACTCAGTCGATAAAATTAAAACAGATGAAAGGAAGTTCAGAATTTTAATTCCGTGGCTGGTAGAAGAGTGATTTAACCACTGAGTTATAGCTCACAAAGTGACTATAAGTCAATATTCCCAACAAGTTATAACGAACTTATAAATATAAGTAATATTACACAACCAGCATTTCACTGTCGTCGAATTTTCCAGAAACTGTGTAGGACTGGGTACAGAATAGTTTCGTTACAAGCCCAACTCTAATAAAACTTGGTATTTGTGTACAGAGGTTTTACGTATGAATTTCCACTACGCTAGTTCAGAGTAGATTTTGCATTTATAATGAGATGCACAAGTTTACTTTATCTAGTGGTCTGCTCAGTTCACTCGGCCATGTATTTCTCCAACCGTAAGAATATCACGATTTGTGGTAAATAATAGTTATGTATGTAAACCCTATATTATACTTCCCTTTCAAGTCAAGCGTAAACACTAGAGCAATTTGTATAATTCATTCATTGTTTATCCTCAGAAAAGTGTTTATTTTGAAATTCATCAATCAGAATATATATTACGCTAAACAATATCATATCTCATTCAGTTAGTGGGTGAATGATGAGTATTAGCATAATTTTCACCAAATATTTCATTTCGGAACTTAATATTTTAATCCAACATGTTCAACTGCACCACACTAGACATATTTGTATGGGAATGAAATAATGCTTGGTTTTCTCCCTTACAGCAATGGAACACTAATTTATCTAAGACGAATACCTACACAAGATACCCTAACAGTGTCTATTCAACAGGTCTTCAACACAGCTCGGATCAAGAACACGTGACTGGCCTGACTAGAACGTGAGTATACTTCAATGCCAAGGGTTAGAAAACATATAACGCATCCATTACCAGTCAGATTAAGTAAACAACCAATTACTATTTTCCTCATCCAGACAAATATAGATAGCTTCGGAGTACTGAAATCAAATCTCTAGTGTCAATTATGCACTAGTATACAGTACTCTAATGATGAGCACGCAACCAACCAGCCAGATTTCGAGGTTCAAGCTCTGATAAAAAAAACTTGTCTAAATCAACCAAAACGTTTTCTATATCTAAAAGAATTCCTGAATAATTACCAAAAACTAACAAATGAAATCGTGAAGTAAACTTAATCAACTAATCTTTTCGGTTCATTTGACTTTCCTCAGCATGATGTTATTTTCTGTCATATAAAAACACAAATATACAGGAACTACAAACCCTGAAATAAAGCTGGATGATTCCCAGATGAATTTTCTACACTTCGCGACATAATCTAAGATCATTTATGAGAAACGCTGAAAGTTGTCTATAGAGAAATTATAATCCTGTGTTCAAAAATAACTAGCTATCAGTTGGAATTTTCTGAAGCTCCGTTTGAGAAGTCGGCCTGTAAAATCAACTAGAATTACTAAGGAATTCAATGATAAACTGTCACTATATCATGAATTGAAGCCGGAAATATGGGGACCACACTGGGGTTTCAACACAGTGATCTAAAAACATCGTGCTTGACACGAGTCAGTCAGTCAGTAACAACGTCGAACTTCGTTCGTACGTACGTACATCAGTTCGAGTTGCCACACCACATTAGTACACAGATACAATTGTCAATTCAAACCCCGTAGTGGTAGAGGTAATAAGAGTATAATCAGTAATCAGGAAAATTAGTGTTTGGAGATGTTATTTAAAGAGTATAATACAGTGAAATAAATTTGGAAAGAGGAAAAAAAGGACATGAAGAATTCAGAAGATTAGAATTTGAGAGAACACAAAGAGTGTATGCACCTGCTCCATTGCAAACGATTTTGAGCCATGTCATTCAGGGTCTCTAACCACCGGTTGCTATCATCTCGCGGTCCCCAACCAGGTAGTCTACACCTACCAACATGACTCAGTCCACTTGTCAGTGACTTCATGGACTTGTGCCATGTTTTGGTCTGGCCGCCCCTAGCTTTCTTCCAACCTACTCCTATACCACTGAACATCGCACGTCCAGGCAGTCGGTTGTTGGGCATACGTAACACGTGTCCCAGCCATCTCAGCTGATGAAGTTTCACTACTTCATCAATTGATTTGCCATCCTTACCTAGTACCCGTTTCCTGACAACTGCGTTACTTACTCGATAGTCCCAGGATATACGAGCAATAATTTGAAGACACCTATGATCAAATACTAGTAACCTACGGATATCCTCTACTCTTACCGGCCATGTTTCACTGCCATAAAGTAGGACGGAACGAACTGCTGCACAGTAAACCCGTCCTTTGGTTGATAGACGGATATCTCGCCTACGCCATAAATGACGCAAGTTGGTAAAAGCTAGTCGAGCCTTCTGTGTCCGTGCTGAGATTTCGTCACACACCAGACCACAGGGGCTGGTGAGACTTCCAAGATAAGTCAAGCGATCGACACGCTCAATTACTTCACTCCCTATCATTAGTTCGGGCGTCAATGCAACCCAATCCTGAAGCAATATTTTACATTTCGAGGGGGAGAATCGCATCCCGAACATGCTTGCATTGTTGCTTAGAGTGGTCAGAAGACTCTGCATTTTGTCAGCGTCTTCACCAAATAAAACTATGTCATCAGCATATTCTAAGTCAACAAGTGAACCTCCCGGCGGAAGTTCAACCCCTGGAAATTTAGACGAGGAAAGTGTTATCTCCAAAAGTACGTCGACCACAAAGTTGAACAAGAATGGAGAGAGTCGGCAGCCGTGACGAACACCACTTATGGTAATCAATTCTGAAGACAGTTCGCCATAAGCTCTCACTCTACCAGTTGTGTTCGAGTAGAGAGCCTTTACAAGGTTAATGTACTTCTTTGGTACTCCTTTCAGTGACAAACACTGCCATAGAACTTTACGATCGACAGAGTCGAATGCTGCTTTAAGGTCGAGAAATACTACGATTGTGGGGCGTCTGAACGTGTGTCTGTGTTCTAGAACCTGACGTAGTGTGAATATGTGGTCTATACAACCACGTCCAGATCGAAAACCAGCCTGATTTTCTCTAGTCTGCTCTTCACGAGCTTTAGTTAGGCGTCGAAGTATTATTGAAGCTAATATTTTAGACATTATATTAGTCAAACTGATTTCACAAGAGGACTTTTGTCCTTTCTTAGAAACTGGCACAAGCAGTGATTGAGACCAGTCAGATGGGATTACGTCTAGTTCCCAAATTCTACCTAAGACCTCAGTTAATCTCACTGAGGTGATCTTAATTCAACGTAACCTTTTGAATCCTTACCTACTCGTGTTAAAGTAGAACGCCAGAAGCATCAAGTACTACTCTTCAAATTTTCAAATAAATCCTATGTTCATGACGAAAACTACTTACAAAATATACAAACTAACCGATTAGACAATAAACTCTTCCCTCTACCCCGATCTCCAGTAAAACATGGTTTGACAAGAGAGAACAACAACAAAAAATCTCCATTCTTTTTATTCAAAAGGTTATTTCACAATTATTAAAACGAAAAAAAATACACAGTGGGGATGTCGGTGTTAAGCAACAAAAAGACATGCAAACTTTACTAACGGCGTCATCGAAACTGAAAAGAAAGTCAGGCAACAGACGCACGAGTATTTGGAAGAGAAGAAAATATTAAAAGAGAACGGTGATGGTGTAAAAGTTTTATACATTGAAGTTGGTAAAAAATAAATTATACACCTGTTATTTCATTTCAGAGTCGATAAGAATAAGAGAATTCATGAAATACCAAAAGGAAAGGAGAACCCAAAGGTGATCTATTTATTGCATGATCGGTTGAGTTTAAATTTAACAGAATAATAATAATTTCTGTAAACATATATATATATATATATCATAGAGACGTATATAATAAATTACATTAGAACAAATGGATAAACAAATGTAAAGATATTTTATTTGATTGTATGAAATACATTTTTATGAGGTTAAACAATTCATTCTAATGACAAAAACCTCATGATGAATCACTATAAAATTGTATCGTCATAGAACGATGATCAAATGTCGCACTATCTAGTTGAATATAATGAACAAAGTTATTTTCCACTCTTTATTGTGTGATGTGATTTTCTTACGGAAGAGCAAAAGAATTATACTTAAAATTTTAAAGAAAAACAAATGAGAAAACGGTGGTGTTTACAACATATAATCCATTTAACTGTTCAATGTTCGAATGATCAATAAACGAAACCTAGAGATAGAATATAACACAATATTATAATGAAAAACTGAAATTAATCATATTAAAATGTGAAAATATATTACAGGAAATTATGCGATTGTGATATGTGAATATGATGTTAACCATAAATAAATATTATCTAGAAAATAGTTGAAAAGCGGAGAACATCATATAGTTAATTTATCACGAATATTGCACCGCAAATATATATATTTGCGGTGCAGTTACTTCTCGATTCAGGTGGACAATCAAAAGCTTTCTTCATACTCAATTACCCAGTTGGACTAGCGTACAGGAAGCTTGTTAACAATATCACAGTTGGACATCTTATAACGAAATACAGTGTTTTCAGTAAAGTTACATTTTCTGAACAGTGGTCGAATAATACCGATACAGGATCATAAGGTTGCAGCATTACAGATTCTCTCGGAGAAGTTAAATAAACAGCAATAGCAACTTCAAAGGGCAGAGGATACATACCAGTCAAGGAAACAAACCCATAACCTATTGTCTTATCGTTACGGAATGTGTTGGCAGTGAGCTATCCCCAAATGCAACTCACGAAAAGGCAAATCAATATTGATCAAAATGAATTTACGATTCACTGAATTATTCAGTGTAAGCTCTGCTCATGAACTTCCAATACATTCTTACTATAATTTGTCTGCCTTGAAAAATACTCAATTCATAAAACCTAGTCACTGTAATTTGTATATACTCGATTAAATCATATGTATGTTGTTTACACAAGGGCCATCATCAGCAACTGGTCTTCGTAAAGAAAAAAATAGGGAGAGCAAACAATGCTGACGAACATAACTTCGACTTTTCAACTCCGGTGATAGTTAGCCACATGCTTTTACTCGCCAAGTGGTGTTTGAGTAGAAAGCTTGTACATGATTAATGTATTTCTTTGTTAGGCCTTATAGTGGACAAACGCTGGCATATAACCCGTCGATCTGGAGAAACGAATGTCACCTTAGAGAGAAATGCAACTGTGGTTGGGAGTCGGTAAGTATGTGTGCTCTAGAAGTTGGCAAAAAGCCAATATTTGATCCTCGAATCTTCACCAAGGTCTGGAACCAAACTGATTTTCCCGAGTTTACTCTTTATGAGTCCTAGTCAGGTTTCGGATGACTATTGAGGCTAATATTTTAAAAACCATGTTATTTGAACTGGATGCATTTTTGTCCTTTCTTATGTACCGGAACAGTCTGTGATAGCAACCATTTCGGTGGGATTACGTCCAGTTTCAAGACTAACCAAGATCTCAGTCACCTTAACAGCTAAAACTGTACCTGCTGCCGTCCCTCGTTTCACACTAGATATGGCTGTTTCTAATTCTATAAGAATTGGGAAGTTTTATTTGAATATCGTATTGAGGATAAATAGAAAAACTAAGTGACTAAAGAGTAGGTGTAGAGCAATTAAACTGCTCTCCAGAGTATTTTGCTCATTGTTCCAGTTTCCAGTGTTAAAGGTGGATCATTGTCCCATCTTTTTCAAAAATATTCTCACCAACTCCTGCATACTGAATAGCCGATTCTTTGATAAGTATGAAAAATTATCTACCATTGCCGATAGCTACCACCTCTTTCACAGCTTTGCACCACCGTCCGCAAACATTAAGTAGACTTTGTTAATCTATGTTTAAACTATCTCCATTCCTTATTATGTTCGGAGCCTGTAAGGCCCACCTACGTGTCTTTCACTTTGGTTTAAACTGCCTACTTTGGTGTTTAAGTCTCGTGCTACGATTACGACATACGAGCGTTTGGCCTTTTTTAGGAGTGTAGAAAGCTTTCTATATAACTCATCCTTTAGTTCATCAGAATCGCAGTCAGTGGGAATGCAGGCACAGATAAAAAAGAAAACGGTTTGTACTATTGTCATTCAGTGTTCCCATTTAGTCGGACAACACATAGGCGACTGTCTATTAGAATTCAGTTCAGGAGAGCCTGTTTCTCTTTTGAACTTAGTGTTATACACCAGAGAGGTCATGAGGGGTGGAAATCAGGTCTCCAGATACACGAAGTGTAAATAGTCCCAGTTTCCTATATTGATTAAGTAAGTTCAAGCAGACCAATATACATAGATCTTGTAGGTCTTTTTTGGAGATACAGCATGCATTGACCAGGGGATGTTAAACAAGAAGGGAAATCTGTAAAATCCATTATATTTCCCAACCTAATAGTGAAGAGTTATATTTCACATGATAGAATATGATTATTGTATAGACAGGTCGATTCACTAGTTACAGAAATCCCAAGTAGATTTAGAAATTATCAACATTGAATTCAGACAAAATTAAGCATAAAAAGAGGAGAAAACTGCAAATAACAAATAAATATACAAGAAAACGAACTTACTTCTTTGAAAATAAAACGGATTTTTGCATTTTCCTCTTTCTCCTGCTTACTAAATTCTGTATTTGTATTTATTATATATGAACCTACTACTACTACTACTACTTACTATTAACCAACAACTACTGACACAGATAGATCATCGGGATTTTTCGTAATATTTGACAAAACATTTTCAGAATTCTGTGAATTCGGAGTCGGTACTGAATTGTCCATAGTAAGATCTTGTTGTTGAGTAGCATGATGATGATTGTTTACGGCAGAGTTATGTGAATTACTCACTGTAGCACAGCATTGTGTCAAACTTGACGATGATAGCGATGAAACTGAAGCATGGTTAGCAGTAGCTGAATCAATGATCCCAGTTGATAGTTGCTGATTCACATCCATATTGTTATTATCATTATTATTAGTAGTATTAGTAGTAATAGTAGTATAGTTAGTAATATCATTATTTGATGTTTTAATAGTTTTGGTTGCTAAATCACAAAATATGTTCAAATGATCATTAGTTAACAGACCATATTTCGATGGTTTAATATACAACAATAGAATCGAAGCTAAATGTGGAAATGACTCCATAACATAATCACATTCATTAGTGGCATTATTAATGCAAGTACGATCAATCAATGAATTGGCATAACTGAAATACGCTCCAAATTGAATACTTGATAAACATAAATTTAAAAAAAAGAAATAAACAACAAAGGGCTATGACATATATATATATATTCATATGACTGCACAAAATTTTTAATATGAAAACCTAATTTATTATTATTCACTAACTGGTTTGATATAGTATTGATCAAATTTATTGAAAAGGTACAAATAAACCTACAAATCTGATGGATCAGTGGGGTTGGAGGCACGAGCACATGCGTCGAGTAAACAAAAAATCAAAGATAAGCCAAGCTAAAACAACAGAAAAAAAACACTTCAGATTAAATTATTTCGAAATTTGAAAAATTCCCATATTTTAAATTTAGAAAAACATAGATATAAGCGAACAATATTGCTTTCGATTAGATCCTCATCAGGCTTTACTCTAATATACAGTAATATTTATATGGATATACGAAATTATTAAACTAATCAAGGTACTTTATGAGTCAATGATAACATTGATTTAAGCCTTTATAATTCTTATCAAAAACTAGTAACATCAGTCATCACACTATCAATTTGTACTTTTCACTTATTATGTTTATTTATGTAATCATTTCCATTGTTATCATTGTCTCATAAACTGTCTTTATTAGTTTAATAATTTCATATGTGCATATAAATATTACTGTATATTGGAGTAAAGCCTGATGATGATCTAGTCGAAAACAAGATTGTTCGCTTATATATGTTGTTCTAAATTATTTCAATCAATAAAATGAAACAATAGTGTAATACAAAAGAATGGACAGTTAGAAAGTAGAGAGAACACTTCGATAGGCTGATTATTACTGATTTTACAAATAAATTTGGTTTCGTATCACTTTGCCTTAATATAATTTTATTCAAAAAGTCGTATAGCTACATAAAATGTAGAAAATACGACTGTTACAATTACAAAACAGGGTTTTAGCTGTCCTATTCTGGACACTAGATCAATACAGTGGGGCTAGACAGTGTAATTATTGGTCCAATAGATCACGGATACTTGATCACCTAAACTCAAATACTCAAAGTCAACAAACAGATATATAGGTCAGAAGGGCGGTGTATTATCAAACAATAGAGAGTATTCAACAAGCAGGCTCACAGTTGAACAAAAGCAAAATCGTTTTTGCATATAGGATAATCATTTACGTTTGATGTACCTGACTGGATATGTTTTTCCTCGCTCATTGAGCAGTCAAAACTTCATTTAACTGACATTTCAATGAAGAAATTAAATACTTTGTTTTTCCCTTTCAATCTGATGAAACTATGCACTCAGGCGAAGGTCATCTTGATTTGTGAAAGTTAGGATAATCGGTTAAAGCTGACTATGGAAACGAAACAAAATATTACTTTAACAAACTAAATAATTTATATATTCAGTTAAGCTACACTTAGGCTACAAGTAGTTGTCACTTGTAGACTGCTCTTATTATGGAAAGATATATCTTCTCGTGGAAACTAATTTAGTGCTGAAGGTCATATAGAACTAACATAGTAATGGCAGATTCTAAAGTGAAGTTACATTGGGGGCCAGTCACGTAAAAGCTCTTTACTTTTAGATCTTACTACCATAATTTGAAATCTACTGAAATAGGCGAGATGTCCTTTTATTTTACTAAAATTAGGATCATCAGAGATGTTCGTTATGTGGAAAAAAACTTACTGGCAACAAATTTGGGTATAGCCAGTAGTATGACTATTAAGCTTCTTTAACAAAGCATAAAATTTATTTGAAATTAGATAACCTAAACCAGCTGACATTTTTTAACATAATTAGGCCGTAATTCAACATTACAAACATTTAGTCAACTGTTTATCTGCTTAAAACAATTTAAAACAATCATAGTTAATAAGTTGAGTATTGGGGGAAAAAATAGTCCAAACATTCAGACAGATAATAGTATTTCGAACGATAAGTTAAACAAAATAGACTAAAACTCAATTAAGTAATACACATATGGTGTATTTGTCTAATCCATCAGTTTCTAAGAACAGTTTCAATGTATTTGTAGATATCATTACCAAGTTTTGATTTGATTCTCTAAAGAAGTAGCTTACACTGAGGGATGAATCGTCAGAAAATTTAAAATTTAGATTTTTCCACTCATCTGGATATTACAAATATATTATTTTTATTAGTTGTAATGTATGTTATAAAAATGATTGAAGATAGAGTAAAGTTGTTATGACGAAGTGTAAACGGAAAAATCTTAAGGAAATCAAAAGTGTAATATGTACTCAGTATAAGATTAAAATCAATAATTCACTTACTTTACACGATAAAAGAGATTTCAAATTATCAGTTATAGGAATAGTTAACTGTGAATCATAATTCATCTTTAATGCTTCAGGAAAGCATAACTTCAAGAAATCGTTAATATGTTTCAATTGATATATAATTTCACGTAAATGAGGATAGAATATGGAAGCAGCCTATATTAATAATAATAATAATAATAAAATTCAACAGTAGATTTATTCAAATTTAATTGCACAGATTGGCAAAACAACAAATTACAGTAATTTAAGGAATATTTGTGAAGATTTGTGTAAGCATTATGAACTGATATGCACTGAAGAAACACTGGAAATGATGAAACATTCAGAAGTTGTTTTACTGCAGCTTAGGATCCCTTAACAGTAATAACTCGACATGTATTGAGCATCTTTTTATCTTATAGTATAACATCCACTTAGTAGAAAGTTCACAGTGTACATTTTCAGTCGACTCGTGATACAGAGCGATTATACAATTAATCTGCAAACCTACATGTCCTTGAACAGTCAACTTCTCAGAGGTAATAGTCTAGGGAAAAATGGCTATTCAGTGCTACCTGGTTTTCATCAATCGGTACGTGACGCAGAAGCTGCAAAATATATGCAACCGTTGGAGTTGTCACACCATATCACCACAAGAAGATGGAAACATCAAGACAAATACCAGGGTAGTAGAAGTAGTAAAACTATCAGTGGAGGTAGAGAAGATTATACACGGACAATATGATTTTACAAGACAAAATGAGTTTGCAGGATAAAAGATAATTTTAGAACTGAATATCTACGATCAGTAAAATAGCGAGTGTGTCTGGTCCATATGGCTGGCTAGAGTAGTTTTTACGACGTAGCAATGAGCTGAAAAATACTAGAAGAATGGATCAAGTGAACTGATAATTTCCTAAAACAAAATCAAACATTAAAGATTTAAAGTGAATATATATCAGATTATCAAACTACTGTTGAATATCTACAAAATATCTCAGTGATGATGGGATTACGTACCAGATAACAATAAGAACAATACTTTCCGTGACAAGCCGATAATTATACCAACTAAAATAACTTTATTCTCGAGACGCTACTCCCCTCCCACACACACACATACATACATACACAGTGATACATTCCAAATGATCTCATCTAGTTTAATATTTCGAATAATACCACATTACGTCTTTTTATCTTTACCCGAGTATTTGAACATGCATAATGTGTGCGTCTGTATGATTCAGTGTATTTTAATGTCCTCAACAATAAAAGTAAACACGAGAATCAGATTACTTTGCTAGATGAGAGTTACGGTTACTGATAAGCACACAACTGGTCGCTTGAAGTTTGTCTTCTTTCGATACCCTATTTCGGTTGGTAAATACCTTATATTAGGCTACAGATCGTATCGTCCTAATTTTTAAAAAAACCCGTGGTTAGAATCTATAACGTAAAATGTCTAAAAATTGAAAACTTATCCTACAAAGTATAAAAATAAGTTGGATTCATACTGGTTCGACTATCTTAAATCAATAATTGAAATGTGGCATTTCAACTAGGAAGTTTTAACGTTGAGAAAACAACCAGCTGTGTACAAACACAACACAATTTTGTAGTCATAAGATAATGAATAAAAACTTGAAATAACTAATCTGTGAAAGTGGTTTTAATCAATTGGAAATTAAATATGAAATATACACATTTCGACGTCGATGTGATATATATATATATAAACCTTTAAGTATGTTCGATGATATCTTGGTCAACAGAAGTGGCGCAGTGATATTTAGAACGCAGATATAGCAGTTTGGTATTTTTCACGATGATTCCACAACAAGAATATTCCATGAATCAAAAAGTCTTTTCAATTATCATAAAACATGTCTCAAATCCAGCACTACTTAACACTACTGAAGAGTCCCATATTGGAACGAAACGGCCATCCAGTGCTTCCAGGTTTTCAGTGGTGGACTTGTGAATTCAACTGTGACAAAAAGAATGATAAATTAACAACCTTCAATAATGGAGCTTTCTATTAGAAAATTCAACAAAGCCAAGATTTCCAACATGATTCACCGATTACAACAAGCAAAAAACAAGGGAAAATAAATGACTAGATCAGGAGTTCCGTATAGTGCGAACCAAAGGACTAAATGACCATGACTAAATCTTATAACCGTCTAGGTTATTTGTAGGAACTGTAAAGTAACCTATCACAAGACAGTTCTAACTTAATCAAAAATTAGAACTTTGGATATTGTCAATGATTAAAGATTGACATTTTTGAAATGGAAAAGAGAATGACAAATGATGAGTAAGAGAGCTTGTAAAATTGCTACATATGTACACAAGTTTAAATAAATTGAGGAGCGGTCAAGGCGTGTTCAAAACACATCGTAAATACAACTATGATTAGTTCATGAGGAACGGGATACAGGAGGTTTATAATTTTAATATGCTATCAACGTCTAGAAAACCACTAAACGATTAAAGATGTTGACGGGGCTAATTTGTTTCACTTTGACGTCATGCTTTTTGACAGAAGTAATGGCCATGGTGATATTATGGTACGAAGAGAAGATTGAAACGACTTCGGTGAGTTTTAGACCATTGTCATCCGGTCAGAAAAGAGTTCGTAAAAGACTAGGTCACAGAAAATAAATAATAATAGTAGTGAAAAGGGTATATAGGTTTAGTATAATTAATTAAACTACTAAGGACTTTTATGTGTTCTGTATGGGAATCGGAAAATAACGACATATAAACTTGTCTAAACAAAGATACTCCCTGTCTTCTTGAACACTCATAAAGACGTAAATAAATTTGTATGAGTCCCCAAAATGTTTCTAGTTAGGATTGGGATGAGAAGCTGTTAATTACAGTTGAAGTCAAGAGACTAAGTGGTTTAGGGTTATGATTAACGCAGATTGTTTACTTGAGTGTTATATATAATCTACATAGAAAGAACTCGATACGTAAGGTGGTCAAATGTAAAGTAGAGTCTGATATGCATGTATGTAAGTTTAAGTTGCTATACTCTACTAACACAACGAGATGAAATTGACGGGACAAATCCCAGAATAGTAAACGCAGTAAGTCATTAGTGGGAATAGAAAGGATTAAACACTGAAGATACGATCCAAGAAAATATGAGTAACTAGAATGAAATAAAAGAAATTACGATGAATTCAGAAGCTTAGAATTTGGGGGAGGGAACCGAGGGATGGGTAAACCTGCGCCACTGCAAACGATTTTGAACTATGCATCCGATATGCTCAACACAATTCTTAACTCATGACGCTAAAAATTAATTTTTCAATATCATTTTAAACGTTTTGAATACCGTACAAAGGTATCTGCAATACTCGTTTTACGTGATACATAACAAAAGCCCTTCATTCTCAAATTTTGTGTGAAAATCCAAAAGTTACTTCTCGACCTTGGTTGGCTCGTCTTTATGTGCTTACTTTACCTGAGTCCACAAATGATTCGAGAAAACGATATATTAAGACTTCTACCAAATAATCTAATTAGTAACGCGATGATCGTCATTAAATCAGAATGTTTTGCCTGTTCACAATAAACTGTTGTATAATATAGGGAGCGGTATGCGCTATATTGCTTTTATACTCTATAGTTTTAAGGAACTAAAAGGATACATATGCTAATAATATTAAGAATGGATAAAAATAACAACTCTCTTAGGATATAAAAGAAAATATGAAGGATTGAAGAACGTGAGTGAAAGATTAAGAGCGGAGAAAACATAACCTACTTCATTTATTGTAGTCGGCCAAAGCTGACGAAGTCTAAGGAAATCATGAATAAATTGTGACAAATAATTGATTTGAATTTTCTATAACAGAAAAAAATTTTTAAATTCGAGAAGTATTAAATCTTGCAATGGTTAATACGAACTGAATGTATGAAATTATCAAGAAAGTGTATAAAATTGATTGAAAGAGGTGAATTTCAATTATATTAGTATCTCGATGTTAATTAGTTTGGTTTCGAAGCAATAATAAACAATCTGCTTACTGTATAGAATAGTCCAGAAACGATTCAGTACTAAACTACCAACTTTCGCTTATATACCTATTTATTAACATATATTGATTGTGATCAACCTATATAACTTATTTATGTAAACCACAACCCATGTTTTTTTTAAATATTAGCTCTCTTGCTATAAACAAATTTGTGCATTCACGTTTGAGCTAAACTTTGTAGTGAAGCTTAAACCGAACCAGGTGAAACGGAACTTGAACCCGCTACGTAGTGGGTGAAAGTCTACCATCCTAACCACTGAACTATTGGACTCCATTTTCATCCCTTTTTGATAACTATTTTATCATCAGAATGTGTTTTGTGGAGATTTTTAGAAATTTTCACAGATTGAACTCATGAGTCAGTTGAAGCTAGACCACCATTGAAAACCTGGAAGCACTGGACGGCCGTTTCGTCCTAGTATGGGACTCCTCAGCAGTGCGCACCCACGACCCCGCACCACCCGGGGCTCAAACCCAGGACCTACTGGCTTCGCGCGCGAGCACTTAACCATAAGACCACCGAGCCGGCATCCAACGGTGTTAATGTCTAACTTCAACCAATCCACGAAGTTGTGCTTCCAGGTTTTCAATGGTGGTCTAGCTTCAACTGACTCATGAGTTCAATCTGTGAAAATTTCTAAAAATCTCCACAAAACACATTCTGATAATAATAATCACATGCTCACTAGTGACTGACTTCAGGAGACACTTCTGGAGTTCTAGTGAGAAGTCGTTACCAGTGGAGTTCAACCAGGTCTGTTGTGAGATAGGAACTCACTGAAGACAATGGTGTACGGTAGCGCAACTTCGTGGATTGGTTGAAGTTAGACATTAACACCGTTGGATGCCGGCTCGGTGGTCTAATGGTTAAGTGCTCGCGCGCGAAGCCAGTAGGTCCTGGGTTTGAGCCCCGGGTGGTGCGGGGTCGTGGATGCGCACTGCTGAGGAGTCCCATACTAGGACGAAACGGCCGTCCAGTGCTTCCAGGTTTTCAATGATGGTCTAGCTTCAACTGACTCATGAGTTCAATCTGTGAAAACTATTTTATCACTTAGAAAGAAAGAAATTTTTTTAAAAAGATGTCTTTATTAGGAGAAATAGTGAGAACTTTAAAGTTCCACATAAAAATCCAATAGTTGAACTAAAAGTTTCATTTAAATAAAAAATTATGAAACAACTTACTGTCGGTAGGTGATGTAGAGTTAAACACCATAGACGCATTCCTTTATGAATAGAGAAAAAACTATCTGGCAATGAAAACAGACCATTCTCAACGACTGATATGAATTCTTCTTTAGACGTGGCTTCGCTTGTTATCGATGATGACTGGAGTAGTCCACTGATTAGTTGATTAATCAGTTCTTGTTGATAATCTAACAGTCGGGAACGTCTATGGAAGAGAGAAGCAACCGAATCAAGGAATATATACGCAAATACAGTTTAAAAAGACGGAAGTGACAGAATCTTGTAGCTTTTTGTTAAAGCAGATGCAGATTATCCCTTTCTGGAACAAAGTCGTAGTATGAATGGTGTTTATTGTATATTTGATCATTAAGTTTGATATCTTTTTTGAGTGTTTTATTTAAATGTTTCCACGTTTTGAACTGTAAACAGGAACTTTAGCGCGATATAATATAACACAGTACAGCTCTTAAGTGAGGAAAATCAGGTCAGAAAGTAAAAAAATTATAGATCTACAAAAAGTATAGGGTATACTTACGCGTCATTTTGAACAACAACTCTTTTAAGAGATAAGGAAACTTCATCTAAGATCAGTAATATTGAAAACATCTAAACAGATGAGAGGGAAAAAAATTAGAGAAAAGATAAAAGTCACCAAACATTATAAGTAAGCATCTTTATATAAATAGATAATGTATATAATGATATTATTTACATTAGTTTTACTATTTAAAAAATTCAAAGCTTCCCGACAGTCTTGTTTCGTTTTCTGAAAGCTGTGTTAATTACGAACGACAGCAAGCTGTTTTTAGGGCAAAATGCAATCCAAAGAAACACATCCGTGCGACATATACACGACTATTCAACAATAATCCTTGATTGATGAGACAAGGTGTAGAACTCAGGAAAAAACTTGTCACTCGAAGTCGGAAATTTAACGGGACAATTCTGTTCACATAATCAAGAAAATGGACTTGAGACATTTGATAAAAAATACTTAACGAGAAGCGAAAACAATCAATTAAACGACAACAAAGATCAGTGAGCAAATATGAATTGGATAGGCATTAAAGCGGGCTTCCTTAAACATCAGAAGTACCGTTTATTAACAAGGGGAAAACTAGATGATTTGAGGGCTTTTTAGCAAGCTTCTGTGATAAATTCAGGAGCTAGTTATTAAAACTTGATTACACTAAATCTAAGGAGTACCAATCTTATAATATTCAAGATACTCCATATCTCTGTGAGTATACCTATTACAATCCCTTTTTCCATTGTTGAAAAATAGGTTTGGGTGTCTTGATATTGACGTTTGTTGTACATCCGAAACATGTATTGAAAACGAGTGCAGTACAGCAAATTCGATGCTTGTTACTCGATAAACATGATTCCCAAACAATTATCCAGGGATCCTGTTGTATCTTCGTCCAATTTAGCCGGGGGTCAGTGTCACACAAGCGGCATCAATCGATTGGATCCCATTAACACTTGTTAATGGGGTGCTAGAGTGGGTAGCTCCACAAAAATGAGAGAAAAATTATCTGGGGAACAAAGTCCTTCTGTGATATCCCCCTATCCCCCGACAGGTTACAACCTCTACTAAATCAAGGATATAGGATACCATCGGTTAAATGATGTCAAGAAAGAGCATGCGACAGATATTCTAGAGCTAGTCGAAGATTAGAATGCACAGATTGAGCATATAAGCATAGAGTAATTATAATTGCTTCTGGTAACAGTCTTATCGAAACGTTCCTTAAAGCAATTTTATTTTCAGGTATCAAAATAGAAACATAGAGTCTAAAAGGCGCCGATAAAACATCCACATACGCAACACCTAACAAAATAGGCACAACCAGAGAGAAAACAAATAACAACGTAACTTACACAGCAGAGAATCAAATGACGAAAAGAGAATTCGTTTACAATACAAAGTTACACTAAATTTTAGAAAATATATGAAGGATACAAGTGCCAAAAAATAAAACGCCAAAACAATAAACTAAAACATACACGTTCAATTTGAGCGAGAATCAGCAAACGACGACGATTAGCCTTCACATCAGATGACTCAGAAAGTGCAGAAATATAATCACAACCATCAACCTACAAAACACGATAAAACAAATAGTAAAACATAACAACAACAACGGTAAAAACCTTTAAAATAAGATAACAAATAAAACCGACACTCAGATGACCAACAAAAAACAGAAGAAAAATACGGTACAACCAGAATATATATGTCACAAAAGATATCGTGAAAAATACGTCCACACTCGCCACACCTTAGAACACCAATATAACAACGAAAAATCATCAACACAAAATCAACCCCATATACAAAACATGTACAAAACACACTCCTTCATCATCATGTAGACAGAACATGGAACACGACTACGCAAATTAACATCGTCGTCCAACGAGAAATCTGTCCAACCATCAATGTCACTCTCATTACACCCACATATGTTAACAAGCAACAAGTGGATTGGTTGAGAGTACTTACATGCATTACACAAACTAAACCATCAAAACACACACAACCTGAACAACGGAAATATAACAGGAAACACCAGTGCTCTCCATTATCATCATTCACCAAACATTCAAACACCAATATTACAACGAAAAATCATCAACACAAAATCAACCCCATATACAAAATACTCAACATTCACATACACACACAAAACAAAACATGTACAACACACACTCCTTCATCATCATGTAGACAGAACATGGAACACGACTACACAAATTAACATCGTCGTCCAACGAGAAATCTGTCCAACCATCAATGTCACTCTCATTACACCCACATATGTTAACAAGCAACAAGTGGATTGGTTGAGAGTACTTACATGCATTACACAAACTAAACCATCAAAACACACACAACCTGAACAACGGAAATATAACAGGTAACACCAGTGCTCTCCATTATCATCATTCACCAAACATTCAAACACCAATATTACAACGAAAAATCATCAACACAAAATCAACCCCATATACAAAATACTCAACATTCACATACACACACAAAACAAAACATGTACAACACACACTCCTTCATCATCATGTAGACAGAACATGGAACACGACTACGCAAATTAACATCGTCGTCCAACGAGAAATCTGTCCAACCATCAATGTCACTCTCATTACACCCACATATGTTAACAAGCAACAAGTGGATTGGTTGAGAGTACTTACATGCATTACACAAACTAAACCATCAAAACACACACAACCTGAACAACGGAAATATAACAGGGAACACCAGTGCTCTCCATTATCATCATTCACCAAACATTCAAACACCAATATTACAACGAAAAATCATCAACACAAAATCAACCCCATATACAAAATACTCAACATTCACATACACACACAAAACAAAACATGTACAACACACACTCCTTCATCATCATGTAGACAGAACATGGAACACGACTACACAAATTAACATCGTCGTCCAACGAGAAATCTGTCCAACCATCAATGTCACTCTCATTACACCCACATATGTTAACAAGCAACAAGTGGATTGGTTGAGAGTACTTACATGCATTACACAAACTAAACCATCAAAACACACACAACCTGAACAACGGAAATATAACAGGGAACACCAGTGCTCTCCATTATCATCATTCACCAAACATTCAAACACCAATATTACAACGAAAAATCATCAACACAAAATCAACCCCATATACAAAATACTCAACATTCACATACACACACAAAACAAAACATGTACAACACACACTCCTTCATCATCATGTAGACAGAACATGGAACACGACTACGCAAATTAACATCGTCGTCCAACGAGAAATCTGTCCAACCATCAATGTCACTCTCATTACACCCACATATGTTAACAAGCAACAAGTGGATTGGTTGAGAGTACTTACATGCATTACACAAACTAAACCATCAAAACACACACAACCTGAACAACGGAAATATAACAGGGAACACCAGTGCTCTCCATTATCATCATTCACCAAACATTCAAACACCAATATTACAACGAAAAATCATCAACACAAAATCAACCCCATATACAAAATACTCAACATTCACATACACACACAAAACAAAACATGTACAACACACACTCCTTCATCATCATGTAGACAGAACATGGAACACGACTACGCAAATTAACATCGTCGTCCAACGAGAAATCTGTCCAACCATCAATGTCACTCTCATTACACCCACATATGTTAACAAGCAACAAGTGGATTGGTTGAGAGTACTTACATGCATTACACAAACTAAACCATCAAAACACACACAACCTGAACAACGGAAATATAACAGGGAACACCAGTGCTCTCCATTATCATCATTCACCAAACATTCAAACACCAATATTACAACGAAAAATCATCAACACAAAATCAACCCCATATACAAAATACTCAACATTCACATACACACACAAAACAAAACATGTACAACACACACTCCTTCATCATCATGTAGACAGAACATGGAACACGACTACGCAAATTAACATCGTCGTCCAACGAGAAATCTGTCCAACCATCAATGTCACTCTCATTACACCCACATATGTTAACAAGCAACAAGTGGATTGGTTGAGAGTACTTACATGCATTACACAAACTAAACCATCAAAACACACACAACCTGAACAACGGAAATATAACAGGGAACACCAGTGCTCTCCATTATCATCATTCACCAAACATTCAAACACCAATATTACAACGAAAAATCATCAACACAAAATCAACCCCATATACAAAATACTCAACATTCACATACACACACAAAACAAAACATGTACAACACACACTCCTTCATCATCATGTAGACAGAACATGGAACACGACTACGCAAATTAACATCGTCGTCCAACGAGAAATCTGTCCAACCATCAATGTCACTCTCATTACACCCACATATGTTAACAAGCAACAAGTGGATTGGTTGAGAGTACTTACATGCATTACACAAACTAAACCATCAAAACACACACAACCTGAACAACGGAAATATAACAGGGAACACCAGTGCTCTCCATTATCATCATTCACCAAACATTCAAACACCAATATTACAACGAAAAATCATCAACACAAAATCAACCCCATATACAAAATACTCAACATTCACATACACACACAAAACAAAACATGTACAACACACACTCCTTCATCATCATGTAGACAGAACATGGAACACGACTACGCAAATTAACATCGTCGTCCAACGAGAAATCTGTCCAACCATCAATGTCACTCTCATTACACCCACATATGTTAACAAGCAACAAGTGGATTGGTTGAGAGTACTTACATGCATTACACAAACTAAACCATCAAAACACACACAACCTGAACAACGGAAATATAACAGGGAACACCAGTGCTCTCCATTATCATCATTCACCAAACATTCAAACACCAATATTACAACGAAAAATCATCAACACAAAATCAACCCCATATACAAAATACTCAACATTCACATACACACACAAAACAAAACATGTACAACACACACTCCTTCATCATCATGTAGACAGAACATGGAACACGACTACGCAAATTAACATCGTCGTCCAACGAGAAATCTGTCCAACCATCAATGTCACTCTCATTACACCCACATATGTTAACAAGCAACAAGTGGATTGGTTGAGAGTACTTACATGCATTACACAAACTAAACCATCAAAACACACACAACCTGAACAACGGAAATATAACAGGGAACACCAGTGCTCTCCATTATCATCATTCACCAAACATTCAAACACCAATATTACAACGAAAAATCATCAACACAAAATCAACCCCATATACAAAATACTCAACATTCACATACACACACAAAACAAAACATGTACAACACACACTCCTTCATCATCATGTAGACAGAACATGGAACACGACTACGCAAATTAACATCGTCGTCCAACGAGAAATCTGTCCAACCATCAATGTCACTCTCATTACACCCACATATGTTAACAAGCAACAAGTGGATTGGTTGAGAGTACTTACATGCATTACACAAACTAAACCATCAAAACACACACAACCTGAACAACGGAAATATAACAGGGAACACCAGTGCTCTCCATTATCATCATTCACCAAACATTCAAACACCAATATTACAACGAAAAATCATCAACACAAAATCAACCCCATATACAAAATACTCAACATTCACATACACACACAAAACAAAACATGTACAACACACACTCCTTCATCATCATGTAGACAGAACATGGAACACGACTACGCAAATTAACATCGTCGTCCAACGAGAAATCTGTCCAACCATCAATGTCACTCTCATTACACCCACATATGTTAACAAGCAACAAGTGGATTGGTTGAGAGTACTTACATGCATTACACAAACTAAACCATCAAAACACACACAACCTGAACAACGGAAATATAACAGGGAACACCAGTGCTCTCCATTATCATCATTCACCAAACATTCAAACACCAATATTACAACGAAAAATCATCAACACAAAATCAACCCCATATACAAAATACTCAACATTCACATACACACACAAAACAAAACATGTACAACACACACTCCTTCATCATCATGTAGACAGAACATGGAACACGACTACGCAAATTAACATCGTCGTCCAACGAGAAATCTGTCCAACCATCAATGTCACTCTCATTACACCCACATATGTTAACAAGCAACAAGTGGATTGGTTGAGAGTACTTACATGCATTACACAAACTAAACCATCAAAACACACACAACCTGAACAACGGAAATATAACAGGGAACACCAGTGCTCTCCATTATCATCATTCACCAAACATTCAAACACCAATATTACAACGAAAAATCATCAACACAAAATCAACCCCATATACAAAATACTCAACATTCACATACACACACAAAACAAAACATGTACAACACACACTCCTTCATCATCATGTAGACAGAACATGGAACACGACTACGCAAATTAACATCGTCGTCCAACGAGAAATCTGTCCAACCATCAATGTCACTCTCATTACACCCACATATGTTAACAAGCAACAAGT